CCTTTGTTTTAAGTGTCAATTAGGTTAGAATCTGTGTTATTTTGTGTTTTTGAGTGTCTTGAGTCATAATTAAATCAATTTTCGTTCAAAGTCATTCCTAGTATCTAGTTTGAGTCAATTTGATTGTTTAAAGCTGTTTTGAGTCTTTTAAGGTTGTTTGAGTCATATAACCTTAGTTAGAGTTTTAGAGTCTAGTTTTTATGTTTTTAGGTCAGTTTAGTTTAGATTAGCATTCCCTCCTAATCCCCGGTTTAGAACGATCCATACTTATACACATACTACAATTGTCAAAAGAGGGTTTTAATTTGTGTGTTAAGTTAATTTTCGCATCATTTTACCGCTTCCACATTTGAGTTTGCTAACAAATTAAAAAGCAAAGCAAAATAATATTATATCCTTATTACATCAACAATCATTTATAATAGGTTGTTTTGTAAAAACATCAACGTTCAGTGATCAACTAAAATAATCTGAAAATCTAACCACTACTTACCTAATATACTAAGAAGAGCGTTACTCACACATCCATTTTTATTTTTCACACATCCGGTAGTATGTCTTCACAGTTGTAAACCAAAACAGAAAACAAAATCACTACTAACATGAAATGAGAAATTTTTTAGTATGCCAAAAGTACGGCTCGTTGCATCAAGTGTCATTATATAATTAGTTAGAATTTTCTTTTACTAGTTTTCAATTAATTATATTATTATACTTGGTGTACCAAAACGGGTTCCCAACACATTGAAAAATCTCTACGTAAATGGGTTTAGTTGAAGAGAATCATTTAGGATAGGATTGAGATTTCCTATCCCATGAACATTCCAAATTCTATGACGGAGTTTGGCCATAAATCACTAAAAGGTTTACTAATTATCCATGTACCAATGCATAAGTTTTGTTTGGATTTAATTAATGAGCTCATGTCACTTAGTACTGCGGTTTAGTAGTATTCCTATTCACTTGTAAGTGAGAAGTCTTTGGATCGATTCTCGCCAAAGACGGATTTGAATCCTATTATTGTTAGCTCATTGTGAGGTTTAGCCTATTCTCCCACTCTTTTAGTATAGATAATATCGTTTGTTAAAAATTAATGGGCTCATTGGAAATGACGTGTTTACCCTTAAAAATCCATCAGCCAATTAAATCAGCCCCTTCAATTTAGGCGCACCAATAGAGCCCTCGCGTTCAATAGCTTGAAGTATCACACCAGAGTTTTAATGGCAATGGATTTTTTTGTGCGATTTTTTACTCCAAGTTCGATCATGATGCTTGGTTGATTCTTATGACTCAAAATACTCTTAAGATTTTCAAATTTCTGTGGTGTTTGGAGATCAATCGTATTTGGCATTTTATGATTGAGTAGTGTGTTTTTATATTTCAATTATGTTCTATGCATTCAATTATTTCTATGTTTTTTCATTGTTTACTTGCATTGGATTGATGATTTTGTGATTTTGTAATAAATTTTGGACTTGAATGTTTCAATTTTTGGCTTTGCTTATGTTTGTGGATTTTATTTGATAATTTTATTACTCTGATATTTAATCTTCCTTCAATTTTCAGTTAATTACAACTTTGGGTGTTGGTAATGTAATTTCAATTTCGTAGTAACTTTGTTGCAGTAACCGTTTATGTTTTGTCTTAGTGATTTCAATCTCTTTTTGTTTTGTTTAGGATAATGGAGGGGGAGGCCAACTTCATTGGTGCTAGCAGTGTCCTTAGAAACTCGTCGGGGGCATGGGTTTTTGGTTTTTGTGCTAATCTTGGTCGAGGTGAGATTCTATGTTCTGAAGTTTGGGATGTTTTTATTGGGCTGTAATTTGCATGAAATAATGGAATTAAGAAGATTATGGTAGAATCAGATTTTGCTCTTGCAGTTCAATTGATTTTTAATGCAAAAGTGGATAATCACCCTCTGGGAAGTTTAGTACTGAATTGTCGAGCCGTTATGCACCAAATTTGGTATTGTGAAATTTGTCATATCTATTGTGAAAAGAATTTTGTTGCTGATGATGATTTAGCTCATTTGGTCCAGTGTTTTTTAAGCAATCTCCTTATTCTTGTCATCGATTGCAAGTTGCAGATATAATTGGGGTCTCATGGCCTTGTGATATTCTATTGTAATCTTCATTTTCTTTCAGGCCTATGCCCCTTTGTCAAAAAGAAAAAAAAAAGTGTACATACAAAATGGAAATTGTGACGTTGATTGTGAACTACAAAATCAGAATGACTTTGATATGATGTAAGGGTTTTCATGGGCCACTAGGTGCGGATATGGCTCCCATGTTGTCAGTCAACAGGCTGTCGAATTTGGCGTCTGCTCGCCGATGTCGTGGGTCGTCAACGACCACGATCTTGGCTTGCGTTATGCTGGTGGTCTAGTTCGAGGTCAAGTCTCTACAAATTCCCTGCACGTTCACTTCTTCTCACCCCAACTAGGAGTAGTAAAATGAAAATTAGTGGGAATTTCATGATACTTAAGAGTAGTAAAATGAGACAAGTGCTGATCAATCATGAGCACTGTAGTAGGGCGTAAAGTGGTTTTAACAACAAATTGTCTAACATTTACCTAGGCTGAAATTAAAAATAGATTGTCTTAACATCAATCATAAGCTATGAAGATGAACCAGTTTCTGTAACTGAAAGTATGATAGCATAATATCCCTATCTATTCTACTAGTTGTTGTAAAAATTTTGGGGATAAAATTCTCTTAAAGAGGGTAGACTGTTACAACCCATGTCGTAAAATATTATATTTTATTCTCGAACTAGTGGAATGTTAAGTAATTTTCATGCCTTGACTCGAATTTAAATTTCTTATATTTTCTTAGTCTTCCTAAATATTCATGTTATGTGAATGTAAAATGCACGGAGGGGTAAAATGGTTCCACTGAATTTTTTCTTAGTCTGCATGGTTTTGATTTTCATTATTTATCAAAACACTCTATTAATCAACAATATTTCATAGTGAGTTCAATCAATTGAAAGGATTGATCAATAATCTTTCACAAAAATTGGTGTATTTGCTCATGGCAGTCAAATTAAAGGTTGTGTACGTAGTCATCAACCTCATGGCAGTCATACATATCGTCGTATAGCTAGCCACAGCTGTAGGTTTATGTTGCAGGTACTTATATTTTCAGGAGAGGCTAGATTCGCTAGTAGACGCTAGTCATCAATCAGGTAGATGTCGTTTCACCTGCTTGTTATACATTTTATTTACTTTGATAATGTGATTGAGATTACTTTCTTTAATATGACGAGTGATGTGATAAGAACTTGATTACTATTACGATAGTACTCTATGTATGTAGTTTTCAACTATCTATGGGATTTCAAAACGGAGGTTATTATATTCGAATGATTTTGACTAGAATAAACTTGATCCACTCACACTTTGTTTTTCGACGCTTCAGGATATAGCGAGAGAACAAGGATGATTTAGGAAGTGGCGATTGGGCTTGGCAGTGAGACCTTCACCTTCAGATTTTGGTGACGACTCTCTTATTGCAGTTTACTTTAGTTTGTAATAATTGCATGATCATACTTTCGATTATGCATGACATTGCACTACTTTGTGTTTACTGTTGTATGAAACTACTACTAGCTATGGTATGTTGTGATAATAATGAGATTGTATCACTGAACATGTGTCCCCAAGTGGGGGGGGGGTTGATTAGTAACACTTTGTAGTTGCTTTTATTTATGAATAATGAACTATTTGGTTCAAATTCCTTCACATCATAATTATCTTATGATGACTTTCATCATTAAGTTCGGCTTATGACGTCATCTCATGATGGGATCATATGGTCAATTAAGTGGCGGCTAACACATTATAATCTCGTCACTTGTGTTATTAGGATTAAGCATGGTCTGATTTGAATCCAATTTGTCTATAAAGGTTTATCATTTAGATAGGCGTGTTCGAGTTTAAGTAGGTTTACATCTCAAACTACAACTAAACCAAAGCTAATTTACAGGTGATTTTGTTTGATTTAAGCTTCAAGCTAACTTAATAATAATGATAATAATAATAATAATTATTATAATAATCTAAACTACCTATTAATAAAACTTTGTTTGTCAACTAAAAATCAATGAAATTATTATTATACCCTACAACATATAATTAAAAAAATTAGAAAAGAAAAAAATATGAGCATTAAAGTAATTTCACATAATCTAAGTTTTTGCTGTTTTTTTCTTCTCAACCTCGCAGCATGTCAACTTATCAATAATACCTAAGCTGACATTTCTCTCTCTCCTGGTAACTGTCAACCGCAACTTACATCTCTCTCTCTCCCTGTCGACCCCCATTTTATTCATGCTGCCCGTTTAAAATAAATAACTTCTCATAAAAACATTAGAAAAAAAAAAAACAACTATTTGAGAAAAAAAATAAAAAGAATTTTTTTCACACTGTGGCATTTGCCTACTAGTAGTAGCAATAATAATAATAATAATTATAAAAAAAAAAGAAGAGAAAACCTCTTATCTTTTAAGATAGGGAAATGACGTCAAATTTTATTTCGTGCATTAAACAAAGGCTTTTGTTGTGAATGGTTTTTAAAATTAATCAAACTCCTCTATTTGGTCTTTAAGTTTCAATGTCAATCAGTTTATTCTATGGCTTTCACTGTTTCACATCAATGTGGTTCTTTTGGTAAAATTCTATCAATAATTTTGTTATTATGTTGATGTAGCCGTTTGGTAACCATTTTATTTTCAATTTTTAGTTTTTACTGTTTTTGAAAGCTGAATACTCAAACCACTTTCAATTTTTTGAAAAATGAAAAACTCAAAATGAAAAACTGAAAGTTACTTCTTTGAGTTTTGAAAGTAGTTTCAACACAAGTTATCAGTTTAAAAAATAGTGAAAACGAAATGGCTATCAAACGACTAAATGGTTTTAATCCATTTCTCGCTAACGAACAATGCTTGAGAAGATTTCGATTCTAATAATAATACACACACACACACAACGGAAGAAAATACGAATTAGAATGCAATTTTTTGAATTAGCACATGTACATTAGAGCATGTGGCCACCACTTGAATGTACAAAAAGAAGATATACATCTAGGCAAAAAGGAGTTGGAGCTAGAGAAAGTTCATTCAGAATTGCAAATAGAGAGAGACAGAGAGAGAGAGAGAGAGAGAGAGCAGAGTAATATTCTAAAAATTGTTACATAGTTCATAGCCGTCGAGAGTAGCCAGAACCTGCACATTTCTTGCAAAGTACCAATCCTACCAAAAAAAAAAAAATCGATGAAGCTACTGCGAAAGCTACGACCTAATAAATAAATATGTGAGAAAATGAGAGATTGAACCATACAAAACAAATATCGAAGAAGTTCACAATCTGGTGAATAACTTGACAATCTGATTACTACCAGAATCATTGAGGGGCATGCAGAGTTCAAGACTAAAAGATCCTAATAATCTATGTCCCCAGAAACCAATAGGAGTACAAGACTACTACTTCACTTGTTCAATGGCATTTCAGTACTTAGTAGTAGTAGTGATATGATTAGGGTTGCATTAGTATTAATCTACACGATTTACTTATTGGGTACTCGCTCAGTACTTCAACTTGTGACATGCGACACGGTACTTCAGTAGCACTTGTTGTTGTAGTACCACAGACATAAAAAAAATCAGAAGGGCGAGAGAGTATTATTAACCAAAACCCTAGATCGATTATGTCCTTCGATGATCATACATGCCTAATTAAGGTCTAAGGATCGTAATAATTCAGCAAAGAAGATGTCAGAAACTATTACCTGCACCCTTGCAAACCTTGCAGTCAACCAAGCCTGTCTCTAGCTTCATTTTGCCATTGTTGCAGAAGACACATTTCGTACCACCTACCGGTCCCAAAAATATTTATGTATTAGGAGAAGACGGACAGTACTGAGACACCACCGGGGGCAAGTCTCAGTGATAGACAAAATGTTGAAACAAATAAAAGAATTACTAAATGTTGAAACAAAGAAACTAAACAGATGGTTTACAGATCCGTATATTTTAATTCCAGTACTAACATTTTTTGCTTGCAGCATTGTGATCCTAATCCTATATGATAGATCCTTGGATGCTTCAAACTAAGGTTTTGTAGAGCAGGGATCAACAATTAGATGTTCAACACTACATGACGTTCTAATGGTTGAGTACCAACGTGATTCCCCTGACTCGAGAACTCGTCCAAAACCTAGCTCAAACTGTGCACAATACTGTGAAATGCTCACAAAAAGAGACTCCAAGAAGATAAATCGTAGCAATCACATCACATTGAAACTGAGAGAGTTCAAAATCATGATTAAGATAAAATTCAGAGTAGACCGTTCCCAAGTTATAATGTGCGACAGTGCAAGCTACAAAAGGGCTAATTGTACTTAAAACCCTTCAGTCTAAACTGGTTGGGTTCAGTCCCATGTTTAAACCTCAACCTACGCTGGTAAGCACTGGGAAAATCTTACTTGTCTGGTGACTGAAACTACGTGAAAAATAATATTAATCGAGATCCAAAGAACACATGTTGTCAACCAAGTCCGTCTTCGGCTTATTTCTTCGCTGCAGATCCTAAGTTTAAAATTGATCAACTATAAGAGACTTTACTGCATGATTAGTGTTACAATTTTCCCTTCCATATTAGCATGAAAAATGCATAAAAAAAGGGCTAACTAAAATGCAAATGCCACACAAGTGGACATGAGCCCTAGCGGCCTAAAGCCTCCATTAGGAAAAGTTGCTTGGTCTCTGCTTGCACCGTTTGATTAGTACCTGAGTGTCATATTAAGGGCCTGTATGGTATGGGACTACTAGGAGAAGAACCAAAAGCGTTTTCAAACAACCAAAAGTTCTTTTGACTTAGTTTGGGAGAAAAACTTAAAAGTACATATGGGCCATAGAAGTGCTTTTTTGAGAGACTTGGGTTTTTTAATAAAATTTCAACGTGTTTCACTAGTTCAATGACATAAGTGCTGAAACTTTATCCATATCATATTCATATTGCTGTCAATCATTCATTTCTTATCTCAAAATTAAAAACCAAGATAACAAAAGCAACCGGAAAGTGATTACCATTGCCAGCACATCTCTCACAAGGCACAGGGTCACCCTGCAAAAGATTCATCACATTTAACCCAAAAAAGCTAAAATCCATAATCCCCATTTTGTAAAGATAATTATAATTTGGAAAACTAGCCACAATAAACGTATTTTGATATTTGGTTAGCAGAAATGATTAATTTTCAGTAAAGACGGCATATTGATCTCATATATCAACGACACAACAACACAACGATGTTATGATGACGACATAATAAACACTGATCATTTCTACAAAGAAATGTCAAAATATGTTTATTGTAGCTAATTGCCCTTATAATTTTTCGAAAAACAAAGGCAGAAGGAGTAGGTAGTTACCTTAAGGCCGAGAAAGAGGGAGAGAGCAATGGCGGCCAAGACACTGATAGTGGCAAGAAAAGTTTGGGTGTCCAAGGGTCTATCGAAGCCAGCAAATAGGAGAATAGGTTGGACCAACAGCCGAGTGGTTGGCTGAATTATGATTTCACGTCCGGGGGCGGCAATAGTGGCAATGCCGGTTGCGGAGCAGCGGATGAGCGGAGGAGGGGTTTCGGGTTTTGTTTGAGGTTGGTGTGGAAAAGATTGAGATGTTGAAGGAAAAGAAGAAGAAGAAGAAGAAGAAAGAGGGTGGAGGGAATAGCAGGAAAGTGTGGCCATGGATACAAGTTAAATGAGTATGTGGAGCTCAGTTTCGGTACTCTTATTCTGTTTTTTTTTGTTTTTTTTATTTATTTTTATTTATATATATTTATTTTACTTATTTATTTATAACTTTTCGCAAGGAAAAGAAAAAGAAACTTTTTTCAATTTTTTTTCTTTCTCTTTTTGGCATTAATTTAATAATTCGAAAAAGAAAAGGGACATAGAAAAAAAGGTTGCTTAGAATGGTAAAATGGGTGTGTGAAAACTATTTTACTTTGGAGTTTCATTTCATTGTCATGACCTTGACTTCCAACTTTTGGTAAATATTCCGTCTTTAACTTGTAAGTTGAAGGTCTTTGAGACGAATTTCGTGGATAATGAGCTTGATACAAAGTTATTATGAAAAGAATAATGTTATTTTTACCGTCATTTGTACCATCTCTTTATTAGAGATGCGACACACATGTGTTTGTGGATCCTAACTCTATTAGATATATGGTACAAATAGATAGTAAGTGTATTACTACTCTTATGAAAAACTTATTGTGCTGCTTAGCCCACATCTACCACCCATAAAAAAAGAGAGTCATGTGAAAGCCCAACTAGGCTGTCATTGGACTTGAATTAACGGCCTATGGGCTTAACTCGGTATATGTTAGACCTGAATGGATACAATAAAACCTCTATAAAGTTGAGACTAAACCAATTTTATAACTTAGGAAGGTTCTTACTTAATAGAGGTGTAGTTAAAAAAATATTAGTTATTGACTTATTTATCCTCAATGAATATTGCATTTACTAAATAAGAATATTTGAGCGCCAAGTATTTTATTTCTTGCATATTTTTGTCCTCATTGACAATTAGAAATATGTGGAAGTGTGTTTCCTTAAGATGAGACCAAGAAAAATTTATAACTTATTACAACATGGAAGTGATTCAATACATAGTTGGGCCCAAGTTGGGACCGGAACTTTTGATGAATTTAAAAAGGTTATTTCATTGTAGAGTATTACTTTAAAAATGTTTTATCGTAATAGTTGGACCCACTAGTAAGAGATTAATTATACTAACACCCCCGAGGTCTTTTTGAGTTTTCACAAAACCGCCGCGTCCCTTCCTCTCTCCACCTCTCTTTTGAGTGTATTTTTTTTCACTTCAACTAACAAGAATCATCTAGGATGACTTGAAATCCTCCGTGGAAGGATGTTTACAAAGCGAACGCTTCCCTTTTCTTCTTATTACCCTCCCGATCTTCATTCTGGGTGAACAATCCCAAAGCTTTGCAAAAAAAAAAAAAAAAAAAACAGGGATATTTCCTGGTAAGTAGGAAATTAAAATAAATAGAGTGAAAGAGATGGTGACGACAATGAGAAAATTTCGTCTAAATTTCAAGTTTAACTCCCTCGTTCAAACGCAAGGTTAGAGGATAGATCAACAAACGAAGGTTGGTTCCCGGATTCTGAAAAGGTTGCTACAAGCAAAACAGAAGCTGTTGCTGAAACACGAAAAGCAGGTGCATTTACTGCCCTCAATTCAATAGCAGCGCCTGGCAAATCTCTTTTACAAAAGTTTAGAAACATGTTCGGGAACCGACTAATCAACCCATACGCCACCCCGTCCATCTCGCTATCTAAACCGACCAGAAACGCGAAGCAAAACATGCAAAAAACTAGTTCAAAAATCTTGTTTACTTACTGTCAAAGTTTACATTGAATTGAACTGATGATGGAAGTCCATTACACGTCACCCAAAGACGAAGCACCTCTGTCCAAAACTGTAGTTGAGCGAGCTCAAGAGGGGATTTTTCTTCAAGACACTGATTTAGGAAATGAGTCGTCCCCAACCACTCTGGATAAAGAATTATATAGCTAACAAATTCGACTACCGAACGTTGCCAGACGCCTTTTCAAAAGTTAATATCACTGGATGGCTGCACAATCACTTTTCACCAATTCCCTCTTCACAGCCACACGATGTGAAGAATTTACCCAACGCATCTCTGGAACGACAAAAAGCTCAATCATCCAACTACTTCCTAGTTGTAAATTTTTACTGGCTTTTCAAATGTATGACGATTCTGCAAAACACAAATTGTAAAAATGGCAGTCGCGTCAACATACAAGCCTATCCACAAATATATTTGAGCAAAAATATAATCTACTAGTTTCAATGCCATTCTTGTTTTTAAAGAAAGATGGACACATGGAAGACGAACAAAATGGAAATATGCAACTCACCTGATTAGCTGCATAAGATCTTTTAGGAGCACTGTCAGAGTGCTCCAGCCCAAGATATTGTTCCCAAGCACCATAGACATCTCTTCTCTATATAGGATGGCAGATGAAAAACAAAACAACGGAAATAAAATCTTAGATTAGAAACATACTACGAAAGTAATAATGTAAACTTCTATTTCTAAAGATTTCCGTATCACTGATTTGCTATTTCTAATTCACACCTGAAACCGACTAGACACAATGTCCGAGTCCTGAAGATATTCTGGGCGACCTAGGGAAAGAAATGCAAACTTCCACTGGCAAAGGGAAAAAAAGTGATGTTTCATCATTAGAATACAAAAATCCCATTTCTTCATTTAAAACTTATGAGAATGTCCATCTTTCTAACAAAATTATAAAAGTGAATATGATGATAATGATAACTTAGGTTGCACCTTAGCGAACTCCTCATCTGCAACCTGTAATTTCTTTTGTACTCGAGCTTTAATTTCAGCCAAAGTTTCACCTTCATGTATGACCAAGAAAAAAGGTTCCCCAAAGTTTTGAATTTGCTAGGAAAGGGAAAATTTGAGCATATAAGATACACAACTTCATATGATAATCATTTTTGAAAGGCAAGCATACATCTGGAGGATAGCAGAACTGTGAAACTAAATAGTTGCAACTACCATTTGGTTTTGAGCTGTGTCTTTAGTGAAATGGTAAACATGAATTACACGATCATTAGGACCAAGATTTTTCTCTTCCTCAGGAACCTATGAATTGAAAGGATACAAAAAAACATCGATTAGACACTCATAACATAAAAAACGCAACCAATAGCTAGAATTAAGACCTCTTAGAGCATAAGCATGAGAGAGAGAGAGACATAGACCTCTTCAGCTCGTAATGTCCAGTATTGATCATTTATGTTCTCAATCTTTTCACTGTGAGGAAAAACCTGCAGATATTTTACAGCAAGATTGATTAGTAGCAATAACAATAAAAATCAACTTTGTATTTATAAGCATTCTAACGGCCATAGAAAATGGAAAAATGGATAAAAACCCCCAAATGTGAATAATCCCATTCTTCCAACCAGTTATATCAACATTTGATTGAGAAAAGAACTAGAAAAGAGGAAAGGTATATCTCACAGAACCACGGAAAGCCCAAAAGGTAATTAACAGAATAGTGTCATGCCACACAAAAAGGGCCTAGGTTTTTGTGGTGGACTCATGATTCATTTTACTCACGGTTGGATTTTATGTCCTCACCGTACCTGTAATACTTGATAAATATAAATTTTGATAAAAAGCTATGCCTATCGCAGAATTCACAATGTTGTACATTTGACATGCACAGATATAGAAAACAAGCCAATTAACACTTAGCTCAAATAGCAGGGACATAGAAAACATTAATATCGCAGAGACATTTGACAATGCACAGATATAGAAAACAAGCCAATTAACACTTAGCTCACACAGCAGGGACATAGAAAACATTACTTTCAAAGTGTATTCTTACAAACTGTATACATTACAAATAAAACCCTATTTTTGCGATGGTATTGTATAATTTACTTTAGAAAGAATCCATTAATCAGACCAATACCTATCAATTTTTTCTTATCTACTTCACAGGTATGGTAGTCAGAGCGTTTTTATTGGAAGATGAAGCTCATACCTTGTAGATCTTGTGATAGAAAACTTCAAGCAACCTAAGTTCTGCATCCGGATGAGACAATTCAACCTGTTCCAAGATGGGATACACCAGTTAGAGCCATAAACTCAGGGTATTAAACTAAGTAAATAAACGATTAAAGTAAACCATTGACAAGATCAACAAAAAAGTGGGCCAAAAAACAAAAAGTTCTACACACTACTAGTAAATAGTTAGTTTCAATTGGCTGGATAGGATGATAGTGACATTAACAAGCCAAAAATGTCACCTTAGTTTTAAGATCATTAATTACATCCCCAACAGTGCTCTGTTTTGGCAGTCTTATGGTGTGAATAACCACCTGGTAAAAGACAGAAATATCAGAAAATAATTAAAACTAACAAACCATAACTTTGTACGAACTTGTAGGTGTACTCACTTCTTCCTTAGTAGCATGATGGAATGCGACTTTCAGAGTTTTCAAACCTTGTAATTCAGGCAGAGGGATGTCCAACACTTCATAGTACAATATATCTGAAGTCTGTCATAGATTGTTGTAAGAGTTTTGTTCTAGGTATTAAAATAAATATCCCCTAGGGATGTGGAATTATCACCTGATTGTAGTGGACCAGCATATCAGTCAAGTGGTCAACCCCACGATACTTAATTGGCTGGGGTTTGGGTTGTTGTGAGTAACAGTTGTGCGGTGTAAGCCTAAGTTTGGATGGATCATCCAAACCAAGTTGTTGAGCTACTCGTTCCACAACATCATCATAGGTATGGAGTTTTGACCTTAAAATCAATACGACAACCCGTGAGATTGTAATGACAAAATCACTTTTAGATCATATACAGGACAGTTAATCAACACAAATGCATTGGTATTGTAAATAATGTAGATAAACATTAACCAACAATAATGTAGCTTACAGTTCAAGGGAGAAATCCTCTTCTTTGGGTTTCTCAAGGGATCGGAAGTGAACAACCTGTGACATATCAGATGATAAAGACTTAGCCAAACTAAGGTACCTTTTTTTATGAGAAACAATTTTATTAAAATACACAATACTTACCTCCTGAACTCACAGAATTGTGACAATGAGAATATATCACCAACACAAGCATACATAATAGAGATATAGGATACATTATCTGAA